TTTAATTTTCTGTGCGTGCCACTGAGATAAGGGAGCCTTTTCCTAAGAATCAGGAAGATGACAGTGAGCAATGGATGCTCTGAAATTGCCCGTGGTGACTATTTAAAACTGTGCCTGTGTGTGTCTCGGGTGCGTGTGTGTGTGTAAAATGAAAGATATTTGGAAGGGGGGTGGGGTGGGGAAAGGGACACAAATCATTTTAATACGCCTTAATGATCGGCTCATGTTACTGTGGTAGGAACATCGGAGAAAATTAATCCTACCATTACGAGTAAAACGCTGCTCCGGTACGAGAGTTCTCAGCTGCGTGTACCTTCCTAATAATATGCACAATTTTATTTATTTTTACATGCAAACACCGCTAGTAATTAGCTGTGTGATTATACTTGTGCATTTCATTGGGGCTTTAACTGATGTCATTCTGCATTATTCAACCATATGAAAACAATTTTCAATTAAGATAATGGCACGCCTTGAAATTATGCAAATGCCGGTCGTATTGTGTAGAATAATTATGACAAATGTAAAGCAGGTAAAAAGTTTCCTAATGCAGTTGTGTTTTACACCCCGGTGATGTCATTTCCCCTCTGGCCTAAGTTAGTCATTCATTAGCAGAGTAGCAGCAGCAGCAGCAGCAACAGCAACAGCTCTGAGTGATACTTCTCTGGCAGGGAGCCTACAGAAACCGGCACTGAGAGCCAGGGCCTAGAGAGGGCAACATAACACTCCCATTAAGAAATGTACTTTGTTTTCACTTACTCCATTAACTTGTTTATAGACATCGGAATGATTTTTTATTATCGATTTTTAATAGTTTGGAACGATCCAAATTCCGCTCGGGGAGGCGCAGACAGCCGACAGACAAAAGGCTGGGTGCTGGCTGGCGCTTTGCGAAGCGCTGTCTGGGGGTAGCCAGCTTCATCGGCGCGCAGGGCAGCTCTTTCACCTAACCACCCCGCGGTCGCGGTTCCTTGCGTAAAGGACATCCATATCTGTCCCCAAAGCGGTGGCAGGGCCACCTCTGGGGTCACAAGGCTTCCTAACTCCGGGCTGGGCTCCTTCTGCGGGAGGAGATGCAGCTCTCAAGTCAGAGGTGGCTTACAGCCGTCAGGGTAGACCTTATTCATGGCGTGGGACTGCCGAGGGGGTAAAACACCTTGTCTTGCGTTCAGGGAGCGGGGATGAAGTAACCGGTGCTTCAACACATATTGCAAACCTGCAGTGTCCGAGGCAAAGGGCGACAGGGGAGCTCGCTGTCAATAGAATTGTTGGTGAGGGGGGTGAGTGGTCAAATCGCAGGATTGCCATCGAGCCCACCGGAGATTTAGGCATAGTCCCTAGCAGCTACCTGCGCTGGCGGCATGATTAATAGAAGCAGCTCGCTGCCTGTTTTCCGTAATAGCAGCATTGACACTGTGACAATATTCAGCTAGTGGCTGCGGGGAGGGAGGAGAAGCGAGGAGGTATGTAATGCTTCTGTTACTCGGAAATTTCTGATGGCGTATTTTATCTGATTGCCAAATGTTTGAGCTAATCAGCGATAAGTGTAAATATAAGTCTTTTTATAGCTAGCTGAATTCATCATCCAGACTTAAATATAACCCTGACTGCTGCTAAAACCGGATGTTTCCGTATGCTGGGGCCCAGGCCCAGCAAACTGTTCAAGCCCAGGTGTGCTTCCGCCGAGGTACCTCTCCCTCCGCCTAAGGCTGAGCATCCCCAAAAGCATGGTGGAGAAAATCTCCTTCCGCCCCAGAAGCCAGCCAGAGATTGCTTCCCGGGGAGTCTCAGTGGACAGCAAACGTGGGATGGGGCCAGTCCGCGCGCTGCAGGTACGAGCTCATGGCATCCTGAAGCAACATGCGTGGAGAGGCTGGGACCAGCTCCGGCATCGGGTTCAGGCCAGTGGTCTTGCTGCACAGGAGCAGCAAAGACATTTTTGTGAGAGCGATGGTGCCGTTGGGGACGCTGTTAGGTGAGCTAGAAGAGTTTTGCTCCATTTCACTGAAAACTTTCTTGCTGCTTTTAAAGCATAGGGGCCCAGGTGTGCTGCCTCTGACCTCGCCGTCAAACCCAAAACCAGCAGGTGCAGCGCTGGTCGGAGAGTGGGAGCAGCCTTCTCCCCCGTCCCTCCAGAGGGGAAAAAGTGGCTGTCCTCGCTTCCTGGCAGGGCCACCATATAAATGGGGAAAGCCAGAGGAAATCACCACCTTGCCTTGGTTTTCTCGGTTTCTCTGGGCCAGCGTGGTCCCCCGTGTCGCCTCCTGCGTGGGAAGGGAATGGCAGGCGCCTCGCGCAGGGCTCGGAGGAGGATGCTCGGGGGGCTGCAAAGGTCCAGAGGGAGCGGCTGTAGGAGCACACTGTTGTGCTTGAAACAGTTTCACGGGACGTGCATGGAAAGCAGCCCCCCCAGCTTTCCCGGCGCTCGACTGCTAGAAGTAGATGCCGGCTGGCTGCCGGCAGAAAGCCCCTGCCCAGTCCCCCACGCAGCGCCCTGGACCCGCGGTGCTTGGGGGGTGTGAGGTGGGCTCAGCCCCCGAGCCCTGCAGCCCACGGGGTCCTGGCCGAATCCTCCTCCAGCTCATTTACTCCTCTCTGCTCCAAGGGGTGGCGTGGGGCTGTGGAACGGCTGACCTTTGCAGAAGCAGTTCTAGAGCAAAATGCTTGTTAGTGCCTTGTATTTTCATGTTTTTAAAGGTGTTGACGTTAATTAGACTGGGCTTAAAAATATATATCAAAGCCGGTGTTCGTTAAATCCAGGGATGGTATTTGATGTGATGTGTACAATTCCTAAAAAAACCCAAACAAGCAACTAATTTATTTTGTATGGTATGACATTCCCTGCGTTGCCCTGCGTCGTCGTGAATGCTACTTCTGCTGGGGCTGGACTTTCGGGGGGGGTTTGCCCTTGGGTTTTTAGTTTACTACGAACTCATGTTGATTTCATCTCTTCTCCCAAACTGGGGATCTGATGCAATGCTTTTCGCCTTGCAAATAATCCTTACTCATGCAAGTAATTTACATGAGTAAGCATTGCTCATACAGAGGAGAAGAGAGAGCTAGTTTCCTGTAATTATTTCCCTAGCAGTATTTTGCATTTTCAGAGTAATTGGGGGAAAGAAAAAAAAAAAAAGAAGTCACTCCATAAATGTATGGCATTTATAATTGCAGAAGAGATTCTTCCAGAAAGTTAAGGGAGGCAGCGGGTTTGTTCTCTCTTCATTTCGGGACAGATGCTCACAGCATCCCTCGAAAGCCTGATTCGTTTCCGAGGGGCTCTCCGTGTGCGGAGGTCCTACCCCAGTGTGTAAAGGTAGCACAGGCCGGCCCGAGCGCAGGTTCTTATGCCGCTAGTGGTTTATTGCCACCCCCCTTGAAAAATGTGCTGCTCCCTTTGCACAGAAATAGATTTTTTTGAGATGTAGGAATCTGTACGCTCTTATTTGAAATGAGAATGGCCCCGTTTTAGTCTCCACGGTGTGTGCCTCATGCTCGTATCTGTCAACACTGGTAATGACAACACGCTTCAAACATGCAGATTATGATTATTAAAGGGTGCTTTAAAAATCATGCTAATAGCATCAATCTCCAATGTACACTTGCTCAAATTAATTCAGCTTTGGAAATCAGGCGCACTGTAATAGCAGTGTTAGAGAAATGGCATTTGTCATAAAATATCATGGTTTTGGTAATTGCATATCCACTCTGTATATTTTTATCTCTCTCGCCACCAGTAGCATATGCTGGCAAAGGAAGGAGAGGGCAATGATATTACTCAGAGAAGCCACATGTTGCTAGCCATTAGCCAGCAATCTGGCGTATCTGGTCACTTAAGGCAGATTCCTTTTTTTTCTTTTTTTTTTTTTTTTTAATTTTTTTCCCTTTTCCCTTTCCCTCTGCTTCCCAGTGCATTCAGACTGTAAAATACACCCACTGCTCTCCAGAGTTGCTGTTCCCAGTCTGATCAGTGGCACTAAACATTAAACTCTTGTCTTTGGAGAATAATAGGCCTCACATGGTACACCCTCAAGCATGTTGAGATACTGTGCAGGCTGGAAAATAAAAATGTTCTAATTGTGTCTTTTAAATAAGCATAGGAGTGAATTAATTAGACTATATTTTGTCTTTAGTTGCTTAGTTACACAATAGTATTCCTAAGCACAAGTAAGATAAATTGGCTCTTTTTGTGCTGCTTGTCCCTTAATCATAATTACTGTATTGCTCAGGAGAGTAACGCATACATAGATTTTGCATTTTTAATAATATTCAAACAATATGCGAATGATACAGAAAGTATGTTCTGATTCAAGCTCTTATATGCTTTTATTCGGGAAGAAGTTCTACTGCTGTGGGAGCAATATTTGCATTAGTTGCTCAGAGATGTAGTTCTGGGAAATACATAATTGAAATATTCTTGCAATGCTTGTTCTGGCCCTTTCATTCGCATTCAAAATAACAATGCCTTAAGTCTCCGAACAGTCATCCACTCTTGATTTAAGAGCTTTTTTCTTTGTGTGTGTGTATGTGTGTTTGTGCGTGTGCAGTGTGGGTTCACACCCAGCGTTAACCCTGCAGAGACTAGACGCTCGCGTGATTCATAGTGTTGTATCAAGTTGAGCTTTTTATTTTGTAGCTAAAATGCAGTCAGAAGGTCAGATGAACATCGGCATTTTATGGCGTTAATCCAATGACCTTAATGCTTGGCAGGCGTCCATGTTTCTATGCAAAGGTGCCAGGGTTATAGATAATAAAAGAGTTTGTTTTCATTTTCTGGATATTTTAATCTTTCTTTGCAAAGCGTAGCCTCGGGTTTGGGGGGCTTGGGGCTGCTCCCGGGGGCCAAAACTTTAATTTCTTCCTGGGTTGTTGAACGTTAGCTGCTAATGATGGGCAGATTGATACAGATACTGAACAATGGAAGGTTCTGGCAAGAAACCCCCTAGACATGCTCAGTGGATGTATGTGAAAATTGGCTCCATTGTTCTGCTGTATGAAAAGCAAGTAAATTATTTACAGATATTTGCTAATTAAAGCACATATTGTTTTACCAGCACAATAGAACACAATATAACAAAAGACAAAAGAATAAGCTTGCATAATTTAAACCTGCTAATGCAATGTACTCCTTGTAAGAAAAATATAATTATGTAATCTACGAGGAAAGCTTTTCGTACTGTAGCTGTAGTAGGCAAAATTAGGAATGAATTGCTTGTCAAGTTGCCTAAACTAAAACAACTCTTCAAGATCTGTGAGCTATCTGACGGGAAAACATTTTGACTGAAGCCTATTTTCTCTTTGGTCAGAACTTCTATCTGCAATGACAGATATAAATTCAATCTGGACCTCTGCTCAGGAGTGGGAGGAGGGAGGAAAAAACACCCCAGAAATGAAGGAGGAGGCTTGCAGTAGAAATGTCTAGTCGAGCTGCTCACAGCCGTCCCTCTGTGCACTCCATCTCCACCCCTCCTCTGGCCCAGATGTACCAGTATCCCACAAAGCATCCTACAAAAACGCGGTGCTGCCCTGCCCCAGGACATTTTGCGTGTCCCACTTTGGAAATAACGAGCTCTGCGGAAAAAGCTGCCTGCTAATACAAGGGAAAGCGAATACTGTAGGACTTCACGTGCTTCGCCTGTGTCCTGTATCTTGGTCTCTTCTTTTGGGTTTTGGACCCCAGCAGACGGGATGAACACATTGGGATGTAGTGTTCTCCGTCGGTGTGAGTTTCACGCAGCTGTGTGCAGCTGTGCTTAGGCTGGGGAAATAGCGTGGTAGGCTGGGGAAATACCTGTCACCTGAATTTAACGAGATCATTATAGCCCTTTAAAGTAATTAGCGAAGGATTAACAGATGAAAGGTTCTGCTTTGGCCTCTTTAAAATTCTCCCGTGTGCTAGGTAAATTCCTGGGCTGTCCGGGTTTCCATTCTCAAGGCTCTCCCCGTAGGTTCATGGGTGGAGAGCGGTGGTCTCCGTAGGTCCCTGCACGCTGGCATCTCCAGGGAGCATTGCAGGCCCAGACCCCAGCCATCAATTCCGCTCTGCGCATCCTTCGGGACACCTCCATCTGCCCTGGGCTAGGGGATGCACAAGGAGTTGGCACCAAATGAGGCACTCAGGGCAGGGAAAGGGGGAAAGAAAGCTGCCCCTGCCCGTGCCGAGCACTGGAGCCTCTTGTGAGGCTTCCCCGTCATTCAGTGATCCACCTGGCAGAGCTGTGCCCCGGCTCCCCAGGTCTGCAGCCTGCTTAGAAAGGTTTTCCTGGAAGAGCAACATGTAATAAGGGAGTGGATGGCAGAAGAGTCCTTCGTGTGCCTCATAGGGAGGCTGAACTTCCCAGAGCCAGACCTTTTCTATGACACAGCCACAGTTTTTTAGCTAGCCTGTGATCCTGCAGTCTTAAGAAAGCCCACGTATACCCCCAGTCCACAGCAGACGGCAGGGAGATGGGACCTTCTTACTCTGGAGAAAGTCCCTGAGAGCAAAGCAGTCCTGTACAAACATTCTCTGCCCCCTTAGGGCTGAATATGGTCCCTGGAGGAAAGCTTAGGTGAAGTGCTGCTTGTAGGAGATGACTCTGGAGACCTGGCTTGAGGTTCCTGAGTGACTTTTGGCAAGTGGATTAGAACTGAATTGAGATAACCTGGTTTCCACCACTGTCCTAGAGCCCTGTAGCATCCGTATGGCAGAGAAGAGCTCTGGACTGTAAACTCTCTGCTAACAGGGCCTTTTGGTTTGACTATGCTGCCAAGTAAGGGTGACGGTACTTTCCTCAAACACCCAGGTAAATGCATTGCTATGGGAGAGGGGCTTATTGGAAAGGAATTCTTCCTTTCTCCACCTCCGCAACGCGACCTTCCTCTCTTCAAAGGGATCTGGAGCAGGGAACTGGATTCCTGGGGTGAGAACAGCATTGTTGTGCAAGGTATGGGAAGGTCCTTTTCACCTGAATCGCAAAAAACTAAAAAATAC